AGGGGAAGGTGCCAGTAGAGAAGGAGAGATTGAGGATGTGAGTGAGGGAGCATAGGATAGAAGAAGAGAGTGACTGTAGTAGTTGTGAGGGAACAGGATCCAGGGAAAGGTGGTAAGGTGGGATTCTGAGAATGCTTTAGTGACCTCTTCAGTAGTAGCAAGGTCAAAAGAGAAAAGTGTTGAGGGTGGTTTTGTATAGGGTATGCTAAGTGGGATGGATGTCAGTGCAGTGGAGATGCCCCTGCGAATTGCATCAATCTTGTTTTTGAATGATTGGCAATCTCATGAGCAGTGAGTGAGTTACTGGGTGGTGGTGGAGAAAGTAGAAACTTAAAACTAGAGATGAGCCAATGAGGACTGGATGACAAGGTATTAATAAGAGTGACATAGTAGGCTTGTTTGGCAGCATGGAGGAGGAATTGTATTTTAAGAAAGCAGATTTATATAGGGTAAATACTTGCTGAGATTTGCTTTTACGCCACAATCGTTCCAGTGCTATGTTTCCTAAGATTTCTAGTCTCATCAGTCTGCCAAGGTTATAATGGTCTGGGCTTGATACTTCATGTAGTTAGAGGAGCAAGTGAGTCTAGTGTGGATGAAAGGGAACTGTTGTAGACAGCAGTGGCCAGGTCAGGGCAGATCAGGGGAGAGATTCTGTCATAGAGGTGATCAGTTGCAGAGTAGAAAAGAGAGAGATTAAAGTGGTGAAGGTGTCAGTGGATAATTGTTTGCTGCTTGGAGGGATAGGTGGTTGAAGACGAGGACACTGTGAATGTGGTGAGGCTGTGATCAGAGAGAGGAAAGGGGGTGTTGGTGAGATTGTAGGGAGTGCAAAGATGGGAGAAAACAAGGTCAAGGGTATCCCATCAGAGTGAGTAGAGGACTGTGTCCATTGTGTTGGGGTAAAAGATTAGGTTAGGTTGAAAGGTTGGGATGTAGCTGGGCTGTTAACATTATTGGGGATGTTAAAATCACCAAGAATGATATTGGGTATTTCAAAGGACAAAAAGTAGGGTAGCCAGGCAGACAAGTCATCAAGAAAGCATGACACTGGTCCAGAAGGCCGTCACTTTTCCATGTTTCTATGTAAACAAAGTGCTTTTTTCAACAAGTGTTAAATAGATCCAGGGGACAGGAGGTAAGTTGGGCTTCTGAGAACAATTTTATGACCTCTTTGGCAGTAGTAAGATCAAAAAAGGAAAGTGTTGAGGGTTTTGTATAGGGTATGCTAAGTGGGATAGATACTACAGTTGTGCAGTTGATATGCCCCCACGAATTGCATCATATTGATTGTTAAATGGTTGGCAATCTCATGAGCAGTGAGTGAGTTACTGGGTGAAGGTGGGGGTGGTGGTGGAGAAAGTAGAGAGTTGAAAGTAGAGAAGGGATGACAAGGACTGGATAACAAGGTATTAATTTAAGTGACAAAGTAGGCTGACTAACACCCCCTCTCCTTTCTCTGATCACAACCTCATCACATTCACAGTGTTCTTGTCTTCAACCACTTATCCCTCCAAACAGCAAACAATTGCCCACAGAAACCTTCACCGCTTTAATCTCTCTCTTTTCTACTCTGCAACTGCACTCTAGTGATTGTGGTATAAATATTCATTTTAATATTTCAAATTTTTTTAAGTCACATAGTTTCGTATATATATACAGTGGGGATCGAAAGTTTGGGCACCTCAGCTAAAAATTTGTATTAATGTGCATAAAGAAGCCAAGGAAAGATGGAAAAATCTCCAAAAGGCATCAAATTACAGATTAGACATTCTTATAAAATGTCAACAAAAGTTAGATTTTATTTCCATCATTTACACTTTCAAAATAACAGAAAACAAAAAAATGGTGTCTGCAAAAGTTTGGGCACCCTGCAGAATTTATAGCATGCACTGCCCCCTTTGCAAAGCTGAGACCTGCCAGTGTCATGGATTGTTCTCAATCATCGTCTGGGAAGACCAGGTTATGTCAATCTCAAAGGTTTTAAATGCCCAGACTCATCTGACCTTGCCCCAACAATCAGCACCATGGGTTCTTCTAAGCAGTTGTCTAGAAAACTGAAACTGAAAATAGTTGACACTCACAAAACTGGAGAAGGCTATAAGAAGATAGCAAAGCGTTTTCAGATGTCAATATCCTCTGTTCGGAATGTAATTAAGAAATGGCAGTCATCAGGAACAGTGGAAGTTAAAGCAACATCTGGAAGACCAAGAAAAATATCAGACAGAACAGCTCGCAGGATTGTGAGAAAAAACAATTCAAAACCCACATTTGACTGCACGATCCCTCCAGAAAGATCTGGCAGACACTGGAGTTGTGGTACACTATTCCACTATAAAGAGATACTTGTACAAATATGGTCTTCATGGAAGAGTTATCAGAAGAAAACCTCTTCTACGTCCTCACCACAAAAATCATTGTTTGAACTTTGCAAATGAACATATAGACAAGCCTGATGCATTTTGGAAACAAGTTCTGTGGACCGATGAGGTTAAAAATTGAACTTTTTGGCCGGAATGAGCAAAGGTACGTTTAAAGAAGAAGGGGCACAGAATTTAATGAAAGAACCTCTGTCCAACTGTTAAGCATGGGGTTGGATCAATCATGCTTTGGGGTTGTGTTGCAGCCAGTGGCACAAGGAACATCTTACGAGTAGAAGGAAAAATGGATTCAATAAAATTTCAGCAAATTTTGGATGGTAACTTGATGCCATCTATGAAAAAGCTGAAGTTAAAGAGAGGATGGCTTCTACAAATGGATAATGATCCTAAACACACCTCGAAATCCACGGGGGGATTACATCAAGAGGCGTAAACTGAAGGTTTTACCATGGCCTTCACAATCTCCTGACCTCAACATAATTGAAAATCTATGGATAGACCTTAAAAGAGCAGTGCGTGACAGACAGCCCAGAAATCTCAAAGAACTGGAAGACTTTTGTAAGGAAGAATGGGCAAAGATACCTCAAACAAGAATTGAAAGACTCTTGGCTGGCTACAAAAAGTGTTTACAAGCTGTGATACTTGCCAAAGGGGGCAGTACAAGATATTAACTCTGCAGGGTGCCCAAACTTTTGCAGACAATATTTTTTTGTTTTCTGTTATTTTGAAAGTGTAAATGATGGAAATAAAATCTAACTTTTGTTGACATATTATAAGAATGTCTAATCTGTAATTTGATGCCTTTTGGAGATTTTTCCATCTTTCCTTGGCTTCTTTATGCACATTAATACAAATTTTTAGCTGGGGTGCCCAAACTTTCGATCCCCACTGTATATATATATATATATATATATATATATATATACACACACATACAGTTGTGCTCAAATGTGTGCATACCCTGGCAAAAATTGTGAAGTTTTGGCATTGATATTGAAAATATGACTGATCATGCCAAAAAATGCTCTGTTATTGAAGGATGATGATCATATGATGCCATTTATTATCAAATAGTTGTTTTGCTACTTTTAAACCATAATGATAACAGAAATCACCCAAATGGCCCCGATCAAAAGTTTACATACCTGGAATGTTTGGCCTTGGTACAGACACACAAACACACAAGGTGACACACAAGGGTTAAAATGCCAAGTAGAGGTTAATGTCCCAAATCTGTGGCTTTTTAAATTGCAATTAGTGTCAGTGTATAAATAGTCAATGAGTTTGTTAGCTCTTACGTGGAAGCACTGACTAGGCTAGATACTGAGTCATGGGGATCAGAAAAGAACTGTCAAAATCCCTGTGTAACAAGGTAATGGAACTTTATAAAGATGGAAAAGGACATAAATGTCCAAAGCCTTGAATATATGCCAGTCATCACTTCCACTAAGAAGTAGAAAATTCAGGGACCTCTTGATACCAAGCAAAGTACAGGTAGACCAAGAAAGATTGCAGCCACAACTGCCAGAAGAATTGTTCGTGAAACAAAAGGAAACCCATAGATAACCACAAGAAAAATACAGGCTGCTCTGGAAAAAGACAGTGTGGTTGTTTTAAAGGAGCACAATATGATGACACTTGAACAAAAATGAGCTGCATGATCGAGGTGCCTGAAAGAAGCCTTTACTGCATCAATAACACAAAAAGGCCTGGTTAGGCATGTCAAGGTGTTGTCAGGCATATTGTAACCGGGTTTTTTTTGTGGCATTGGTGCAGTAAAAGCTTCTTTCTGGCACCTTGACCAAACAGCTCATTTTTGTTCAAGTATCACCATATTGTACTCCTTAAAAACAACCACACTATCTTTTTCAGAGCAGCCTGTATTTCTTTTGAGGGTGCCTGTGGGGTTTTCTTTGAATCCCGGACAATTCTTTTGTCAGTTATGGCTGCAATCTTTCTTGGTCTACCTGACCTTGGCTTGGTTGATAGAGATCCCCAAACTTTCCATTTCTTAATAGGTGATTTAACAGTGCTGATTGGCATATTCAAGGCTTTGGATATCTTGTTATATCCTTTTTTCATCTTTATAAAGATCCATTACCTTGTTACGCAGGTCTTTTGACAATTCTTTTCTGGTCTCCATGGCTCAGTATCTAGCTTGCTCAGTTCAAAATTATGAGTGATCCAAAACCTTTGTGTGTACGCAAAAAGGTTAGGCTGCCACCAGTTAATCTGTTTCCTCTCAATAACTTTATGAGTCAAATGTTTAAGGCGCACAACCTGCTAACTCCTTCCAACATATTTTGCCCCCTCCCGGGGGTTTAGTCACAGAGACTAAGCTCCAGTAGGGGGCAAAGCGCATCAGCCAAAGTTAGCAGGTAGAATGTCTTCACTTCTTAAATAATAAAATTATTGAGAAAAAATGGATACGTGGTGTGCACCCTAACCTTTTTGTGTACTTGGATTGTGGGATGCGAGGAAACCCAGAGTTTGGCTGGCACCCATGGCTGGTGTACGTTGGCCTGAGTCATGATACTTAAGCAGAATCAGTAGAATGTGGCCAAAGCCAATGTAGTTTTCTTTACCTGAGCCATTATCATCCATTGTGTCTTCATACAGCCCTGTGCCTTGCAAATCCAGAAAATAACATCCGCTGGTGTGTGAAATCCGAGGCTGAGCTGAAAAAATGTAGAGATGTGAGCCAAACCTGTGGAAGTGATCATGCAACCCTAAGCTGTGTTTCCAAAGGCAGCACTGAAGACTGCTTCAAAGCAATTTCCGTAAGTTCATTATAAAGATTTGGTGAAAGACTTCATAAATCATGTAAATGAAAAGAAAATGAAAAAAAAAAAAAAAACACAACAGGGGTACTAAACTAATGCCAAGAGCACTTACATTCAGTTGCTTCCACGGAATATTAGAGAGAAACTGACATTCATGTAAAACATTGTTGCTTTATAAAGGGGTCTATTTATACAGAAATTAAAAAGTGTTACTAAACCCACAACAGTAAAATCAGTCTGTCTATGCAGTAAGGCATGCTTGTTACACTCACTGTGGAACCTAAGGGGTTAATCCTCTGCATTGTGTAAAAAATGCCATTTGATCCTGTCTTCTCTGATACTCCTCCCCTTCTTCCATAGTCGCCAATCCATCTACTGAAAGTACAGAGCTCTAGGAGTCACTCTGTAAATGCTCAGCTTGGTGTGTATTGCTAGAGCTTTATAAGTGTGATTCTTATGAGCTACTATGGTGTATTTAAATTATCTGATCAATTAAAATAAAAAGTGAAAATATTATCTAGTGACTGAATTAATACATATATAAATTGAAACAGTGGGTCGCCTACACTATACACATACCCATACAAATGTGTCTTTCTTTAGAAGGTAAAACGTTAGTTAAATTAGACAAGTTCACTTAAAATGATTGTAATGGTCATTTTAAAAAATGTTATACTTGTTGTCTGCTCTGTGTTGTAGTATTGTATAGTGCGGCCCCTGAACCTCCTATCCTGGGGTTCTCCACTAGCACTCAATGCTTCTTCTCTTCTGCTTCCTATGCTGGTACACGTGCAGGCTTGATCCTGAACCGAACTGTGTTTGTCTATTGACACACACAATGAGGTGTGCAGCTCGGCCCCACCCCTGTGCCCTTTTCACAGGAATTGACTGATAGCAGCAGGAGCCAATGGCTCCCCGCTGCTCCAACAGAGTCCAGTGAAGAGGGAGAGAGAGCAGTGCTGCTGCTCTTGGGCACAGTGCTGGATCAAGATCGACCTTATGTAAGTATTTAGGGGGGTTAGGGGGAAGCTGCACTTAATGCATTAAGGTAAAAAAAACCTGAAGCCTTCCAGTTTAAAGGGTTAGTGAAAACATACTGTATATCAAGTTTACTAAAGCTGGCCATAGATGGATCGAAATGCAGTTGTTCCTATTCATAAAAAGTCAATCTAAAGATTGACTTTTCATGAACGGGCTCTTTGGAAAATTTTGCTGTGCTGATCAGTGTATTTTGACAGCAGAGGAGTCGCACTGTCAGGATACATTGGACACAATGGGGAGGATTAAACTTTTCAGTCTCAGGGAATATAAGAAGACACAGGGTCACTCAAGGAAATTGGAGGAGAAGCGGTTTAACTTTAAACTGTGTAGGGTTTTTTTCACTGTCAGAGCAGGAGGATGTGTAACTCCCTTCCACAATCGGTGGTGTCAGCAGAAAGTATTGATAGTTTAAGAAAACTCTTAGATGGGCATCTTAGCGAACACAATATAAAGGGATATGGAATATGATTTTTGACATGAGCACACACACAAACACCTACATAGGTTGAACTGGAAGGAGTGGTGACTTTATTCAACCTTGGCAACTACATAACTCTTTGAATGTGTGTGTTACCTTAAAGCAACCAAACATCAGCATATTCATTTGATATTTAAAGTGATACTAAACTTTATATTAAAAAAGAAACCAAAAAAAAAAAACACATAGTGCTGTAGAGTTAAGCACCTATTTTGTTAGCAGGTCAATTTTTCTTTTAGCTCTGTGGCTGCTCTCCATCTTCTTTTGCAAAATGATTCATAAGTGTATTCAATATGCTCATGTGGCACTTTCACCAGATAGCTTAAAGATGTTGTAAACCCTCACATATACCCAGTGAAGTGACTGGCCTCATATGATACTTATAGATTAAATAAATCATCCTACATAAATTGCACATAAGTTGCACTTGAATGAAAGTTCATAAATAAGGGGTCGGAGAGCTGAAGTTACACTCTGCAGAGTTCAGTGAGGAGAGTTCTGAGAGCTAATTGGAGGGAAGGACACCCCTTCCACACAGCTCACAGGAACAGAGCTGAGGCTGTCAATCTGCTGGAGCTGCTAGTGTCAGGAAAACTTCCTCATGCTGATAGCAGAGGAACAAAGCAGCAGACAGGAATGACACTTATTGCTCTTAATTGAGACAAGTACACACTATATAGAGATATGCTTTGTTCACAATTTCATGTTTGGGGTTTACATCCACTTTAACTTCCTTATACTGCACCAATTTGGAAGGGTACACCTGGGAGACCTTAAAGGTCATGGCACTTAACCTCTCTGGCGGTATTCCCGAGTGTAGCTCGGGGTAAAGTTTCAGCACCTCAAGAGGTAACCCCGCGCTACACTCAGGAATACCCTGCAGCGCTACTCCAGGATCTCTTCTTCACTTACCTTTTCCTTCGCTCCCACGATTTCCCCCCTGCAGTGTCCCCTATAATGTCCTCTGGCCGATGCCGGCATCTGTCTCCTGGGTTCCGTTTCCTGCGACGCCGGGATGTACGGGGGATGGAACTGGCGGGAAATTTGAAAGTTGTAAAAGTGACATTCACTAAATTCAATAAAATCACATAGTAAAACATTACTGTATCAAACCATTTCACATACATTTTGTCCCGAGTGCTTTGTCCTGTGCCCTGCCTACATTTTTACTGTTTTTTTCTGCCTGGAAACAGAAACGTCCCATGGCATCCAAAAAGCGTCCCTTTAGGTCAAAAGCGGTTTTAAAACCAGCTAGAGAACAGCGACAGTAAATTAGAACCACTTGCAGAATTCAGTGATAATGATTTGTGGGGAAATTCATCATCAGACACTGAAAACGATTTTGCGACTTTGCTCAGTGATGTGCGAACTTGGCGCTATATTTTCAAATTTCAGTGTTTTTGTTTTTTCATTAAATGTTTATTATTATTATTATATTATTATTTTTTGTGATTATTTATTAAATTATAATTTATGATTTTGTGTTTCAAATTTTAACATACCTGGGATGTTTACTAGTCTCTTGTTTGGACAGATTTCAGTGAGTTATTCCTAAAAATTACAGGCCTACAATAAAAAACAACATGTTTCCATGCAAACAAAATTTACCGCTTTTAGCACAGAAATATAGACATAATCAGACTGCTAGGGAGGCTACAGTGGTTGTAAAAAAATGGGGAAAACCAGTAAATGTTATCCTCATGGAAACTATCACAGTTCTCTGCCTTCCTAATATAGCCTTACCCACAGTGCACCTCACATAGCATTTAAAGTGGAATTGAATCTGAGAAAACAAACATTGACAGATAGGATTGTTATGACAGAAGAGACTATATTGGTCTCTTCTGTCATAAGTGCTTCTCCCTGAGTTAATGCCTAGGGTGGCATTTTTCAGAGGGGTAGCACTGCCCCCCCCGGGAGAAGGGAAAGAAGAAGGGACACATGCGGCATGGGGACTAGGTGGGATCCGAGAGAGGCTGCGGGCTGCTTGATGGAGAGCCCGACTCATTCCCGGGGATGTCCAGAGCTGTGAAGGTAAGCGTTTTCTCTCTCTTGACAGGGGGAGTGTGTGGTGACCAGTGTATGGGGGCAGTGGTAGTGAAAAGCTCTCTCGGGTGGGGAGGCAGGGATGTTTTTTTGCTTAATGTCAGGCTCTCTCCAGTGGGGGGTGGGTGTTGATCGGTGTTAGGCTCTTTCTGCCAAAGGGGAGGTTGGAGGTGTTGGGGGGCCCTAGGGCAGCACAAAACTTAAATACACCACTGGCTTTGTGTCTTGATGATTTGACTCCTGTGTGCATGTGCGAGAGTGATGTCACTGGATCCCGACCAATCAAGTGGCCGAACATTTCAAACCCACAAAGAAGATTGGAAGAAAATAAAAACACATATGACCAATGGGAGTGCTGACAGCATCATGCTGGAGGGGATCTTTTGACAAGGAAGTCTGCTATAATGTGCTAATATGTGGTTCAATTTAGCACATCATGTCTATAAGCACCTAGGGGTCTATTTAAAAAAAATTGTGTTAATTCCGCCTTAACACTCCTGACTCCTGAGTTTTCCCTGACTCTTGGCTATAGGGGCATCTAGTTGCTTAAGAGGGTATTACAATGGGCCACTACTGTTCCCTCCCCCCTTACTCTACCAATACTAGTGGGCTGCAATAATCAAAAAGACCACATGCAGTATGTATTTCTAGTGGTACAATGTTTACTGCTAGGAAACAACGGATTGATTGAGATTTCAGTTGTTGTCCCCCCATGCCGGACTTTCCATGGACTCCGTGTCTGGCCACTGCACGCTAAAAGGGGGTGGGGGGACTAGGGTAAAGGTGGGAAGGGTAATTTGGAGGAGTTTTAGCTATAAGAGGGACTTGGGGGAATTTGTCCTAGGTGGGGGGATTTAAGGAAGAGGATTGGTGCTTGGTGATTTGTGTTAGGAGGAGGAATGTGGGGGGGGATTTGTGATAGGAGGGGGGGGGGGATTTGTGATAGGAGGGGGGTTTTGGGGGAAGTTTGTACTAGGAGAGGGGATTGGGGGGAGGGGAATGTGTGCTAGGAAGGGGGGATTAGGGGGGGTTTGTACTAGGGAGGGGATTGGGGGGAGGGGGGATGTGTGCTAGCAGGAAGGAATTGGGGGGTTTTGCTAGGAGGGGGGATTTTTTCTAGGGGGGTTGTTCTAGGAGGGGGATTTGTGCTAGTGCTAGAGGGGGAGATGGGGGGATTTGTGTTAGGAGTGGGCATTGGGGGGGGGGATTCTGCTAGGAGTGGGAAATTGGGGGGAATTAGTGCTAGGAGAGGGGATTGGAGGTATTTGTGCTAGGAGGGGGAATTGGGGGGGGGGGTTGTGCTAGAAGGGGGGATTTGGGGGATAATTTTTGTTAGAAGAGAGGGGATTGGGAGAAAATTGTGCTGGGAGAGGGGATTTGGAGGGGGAGGTTGTGCTAGGAGGGAGTATTTAGGTGGGGAGAAAGGATCTGCGCTGGGAATGGTAATTTGGAGGGGGTTGTGCTAGTAGGGGGAGAGAATTTGGACTAGGGTGGAAAATTTGAGGAGAAAGAGTATATGTGCTAGGAGGGGTGAAATAGAACTACAGGCTTTTTTTAAGGGGAGGGGGCAAGTAGCTGGTCTTGCCTAGGGTGCAAAATAGTCTTGCCTAGGGTGCACTGGCCCTGTCTACGGCAGACGGCTGTGGTTCCATGGCCTGAAGCTACCTTTTTTGTCAGCATAACCCATTCATTGAGGACATTGCAATACATGGATTGAGGAGAAAGGGCCAAGGGAAGACAATTACACGTCTGAGTACTGAGTCTCACTTCTTTTTTAATTTTTCTGCAGGTTTTTTTCCCATCCATTCTCAAACAGAAAAGAACTGGGAAGATAGAATCATATTATAAAATAAATTAATTGTGCAAGCTGAATAGAGGAAAATTCTGGCATATTCAGCTGTGGGGTTTGTTTGAGTCTTCCAGCCCTTGTATAATTCATATCACTATATTTAAAAACATCACATGTTTCTAAATCTGATTATAGTTTTGGACAAGACAGGTCAGATATAAGTACACTTAGAAGCCATTTAGGTACTGTACCACTATGATTTTATGCATTGTTTGGTTTGTCACTGAAAGTGTTTGTTTTTCAGGAAGACCTGGCGGATGCAATTTGTTTGGATAGTGGAGACATTTACAGAGGTTCCTTGAACCCTTATAATTTGGTACCAGTTGCTGCTGAAAACTATGGCACAGTGAAAGGTAACTTGATTTAACAATTGAAAAAATTATGCTAATCACACAGTCTTTTTTTTTTACAAGACATAACTGGAATTGGTCTTGTACTGAAGGTTATAGAGTAGAATATGCAACTGGGATTGATTTACCAAAACGTGAGAGTGCAAACGCTGGTGCAACAGTGCATGGTAGCCCATTAGCTTCTAATTTCAGCTTGTTTAATTAAACTTTGCCAAGAAAAAAAACTGGAAGCTGATTGGGTTACTATGCAGAGTTGCACCAGATTTTGCACTCTCTTTTTAGTAAATCAACCCCATTGTCTTCTGCTGATAGTCTGTGCAGTACCGACACACAATGGCTGGCAATTCTGCCTTTTAGGCAAGTCCTGGGTATCCATCCAAGAGGAAATTTGCATTTAGGTTGGTAAGTTTTCACTATTTTGGAGGGATTTTTTCCCCCTATTCATAAACATTTTTTCCTAACATATAAGAGTGTTCTTATATAATCCACTGTATTTAGGATTAGTTGCAAAAAAAAACCTCAGCATGTAGGGTGCAATAAAATACGTTTCCAAATACAGAACCTTATCAAGTGAAATATGATTGATTGAGATGGAAAATATCCTATTCAGTACCACCGGACTGTAACTTGTGCATTGTTTTTGTGCAATTCCGCCTATTGGTATCTATGCCAGAGTTTTTAGTTGGCATAGACTGACCTCACAATTGCATCCTACCCATATGGTGCAAGGTATGTGTTGATGTTTTTAAATTAACATTTCAAGACCAACAAATTGAAAAATAAGAGCAAATAAGACACTACATTGTATGGAGTGGTACTTGTGTTACTGTGCTGGGTTGTTAGATTGTATGTTTTTGGATGCTATATATATTCAAATGATATATAATAAATAAAAGAAAAGAATTAATATATACTGAATATATATATATATATATATATATATATATATATATATATATATGCATATATATATAATATAGACCCTTCATTTCTTTGTCAGTTGACAAACTCTGCAGGGGATCAAATAATTATTTTCTCCACTGTAGGTAATATAGGTCCTATAAAATGAAAAATAAAATAAAAAAAAAAGAAAAAAAACGATTCACTGTTGCTGGTTAAATAATAAACTTTGTGAATTACTTTTCATTGCAGATCCAGATACATGTTACTATTCAGTGGCTCTGGTAAAAGAGTCAAGTAATTTCATGTTTAAGGACCTTAAAGGCAAGAGGACTTGTCACACTGGATTCGGAAGGGCAGCAGGTTGGACTGCTCCAATTGGAACTCTCATCTCACAGAACATGTTTCAATGGGGTGGACCTGAGATCAAGCCTGTTACGAGAGGTACATACCCTTTTTTTTTTCACCCATTGTACAAGTCTACAAATAAATTGTTCTCTCCATTTCATAACTTTTTTAATTTACATTTTCCTGATTAGGCCAAGAATAAGAACAGATCAGGGTTAAATCCATAATTTCTGCACTGTAAACCAACTGTCTTGTGCTACAGCTGGCCCCTTTCCCTACCTTAATCAACTAGCTGGCTTTAGCATCACAGTAAGAAGATTAGACATCATAACCACACATGGCACGCCAAAGCTGAAAGTAAGAGTTCAAACTGTGCCAGTACACCAAGTATAAACCAACAGAAGAGTAAGGAAAGCTGTCACCTGACTCTAACAGTGCAGTTCTAGGTGTACTGGCTCAGATAGGGTGAGTTTAAATGACACAGTACATGAAGCAATGCAAAAATACATAGAGTTTGCAGGGACGGCAACAATAACAGTCCAATTAAAATTGCTCTGACAGGCAATAGTCTGGAACCTTTTATTACACATAGGATTATGTTATGGAGTAGGCAGTAACATGATTCCTGAGTGGCTGTATGCTGCTCTGACAGCTCTGGCCCTACCTAGGTCATGGACTATGTTTTGCTGTGTAGAAATACAGCCCTGGAACTCATCTGGTTAAAGTGTAATATTTTCTTTTATACAACCAAACCGCACTATGTACATTTTCTTTTACTGCGAAGATCTCCAGCTTTTGGCTATTGCAATTCTCTGTACTTTGTATCTGGAGACAGTCAGGAAACATTTTGCTACTTCATCAACTAAATATTCAATGTCCAGCAGGAGCAAGAAAGCTTGAAAAAGTAAACCCAAAAGCAAACATTTAATAAACGGCAGTTTACCAATACTTAAATGTGGAAGCTGCATCCGTTTTCCTTTTCAGGCTTTCTTTCCTTTATTTCACCTGATGATCCAGCCAGTATGTCTGTTGTTTTTCAAAAGAACAGGTTCTTTCGCATATGTAGCAGTTATGGGGATGAGGCAAACCATTTACCACTGACAGGGGTGCTTACAATGGTCAGATTTAATTTATTCATGTAACACCTTTGGAAATGGAGTTTAGCTTCCATTTGTTAGTGTATCTAAATCTGCTAGTCCATCTAACACTCACCTACCCCAGACTGATAATGTCGCTGTCCAAAGGTGCCCCCTGTGTTCATGCATCCAGAATGGGGGCACTCTAATACAGCAGGTGTGTTACTAGCCAGATCACCAGATAGGAAAGTCTAAAAAAGAAAACAAATGCAGCCCCCACATCTAATAATTGGTAAACTGCAACACATTACTGTGACAGACCCAACTGGGACAGGTACTTTTGGAGGAGACTAAGGGCTAGCCTTCTACTCACTATTTATGGCCTGTGAAGGAGACCAGGGATTATGTCTGCTTCACCCAGTCAGAGCATGGAAAAGAGCGTGATGAACGCTGAGAGTGAGGCTGGAATTAATTCTCTTCATAAAGACAGTAAAGCTTTCCTTCTGGAGTGGATGGAAAGGTGTAATATTAATCTTGTACAGGTTAATGATCAGAGGAATTATGGTGGCCCTCCTGTAGACAGGGTTGGAGAAGCTCCTCCACTTGGGACAGAAATATTTTTCAACAATCTCCCTCAAGAAATCTATGAAGATAAATGAATTCCACTTTTTCAGACTGTTGGAGTATTGTATGAGCTTTGTCTCACGATGGACAGATTCCCCAGTGGGGACCAGGCACTTGAAAGACAGCATGCGTAATGTACTTGTGTATGTGCCAGGCTGTCTGGGGTGGGCTCCTGGCTGGCCCAGGTGTCTAGCTGTTGATTAGCTTACTGTTATTTAAGTTACAGTTAGCTGTTCATTAGATGTACTGAAGATATTACTGTTTAATGTTTTCAGTGTTTAGGATCATGTGATCAAGCTCTTATCTGATTTTGTGTGGTATAAAGTCTCTGTAAATTTTCAATAAAGGGAGTTAGTGTTCCATTTGTACCTAAAATAGTGTTTTCTAGTTCTTGGGTGAGATGTCCAGTTATAATACCTTGTTTCTGTGTCCCAGCGGTGAGGAAGCAGTTCTCTGACAGGGTGCCAGCTGGTCCTTACACAAGCAGGTCACCCTGGCGGAAAACGCTGCTCACCCAAAAGGTCTAAGCAGAGAACTCCTGATGGTGGAGATAGGTTTTTTCTGCTTGTTGGTCCTCGGATCACCTCACCAGAAGGTGAGCAGGCCAGGGTCCCGTAGCAGATATAGCAGGTTGGGATCAAGCAGAAGCATAGTCAGTAAACAAGCCAAAGGTCGGTAACAAGTGGTTGCAGGTTGGGATCAAGCAGAAGCGTAGTTGAGGAACAAGCCAAGGGTCGGTAATGTGTTGTAGTGAAGATAAGGACAGATGCAGGTATGCAAAGGAGCAAGATATTGGCTGGAGAGAGCACAATAACCTGGCAAACAGGAAGTGCAAAATCAAGGCTTATATAGGAAAATCATGGCAGGAGAAAAGAGTTCCAGGTTTACAGAAAACAAGGTACAAGGCAAGATTGTCTAAGGGATCAGGAAGGAAGCTATTCAGCATCTCAGGTGGCTCAGCAAGAAGGCTTACTGTCAGAAACAGCAGAGGTCCCAGGCTCAGATCCAGGCCCTGACAGTTGGTCAGCTGAGACCTGCCACTGCACATCTAGTTCTATTCTGCCATCTTCGTCTCTAACATCATTGGGGTGTCTCTTCTGGATTTTGCAGCTGACTCCCTGATGACATGTATGCACAGCGTTTCAGCATCAGAAGGGTGGTTGCAAGAATCAGAGAGAGATAAGTAACCTAGGACACACTGCAGTGCATGTGTTCTAGAATACCTGCAGACTTTTGGAATGTGTGGTGTTGGTATTCCAGGAGGCTTTGGACATTAAAAACTTCATTCTCCCTTCGGAGAACTGGGGGGATGGTTCCCCAAAAAGGTATTACAAAAAAATGCTAAAAAAATATCTGATTGTTGGAGAGGAGGCAGATTAGGGTGGAATACCAGAAAGTAGGCGAGAAGGGTGAAGGTCCATTTTAATGTAAATGCTATCCACCAAAAATGAGGGTTAGCAAATTGTCTGCATCAGCAATATACAGTATAGCTAACAGCACTAAAAAGATAAAACAAAACAATTTTTTCCCAGCACACTTCTGAACTAGCCAGCCAAACTAAATGAATAATACTGTCTAACAAACTGCATTAAAAGGTTTTAGTTGTACAACATTTGCAAATATATGTAGAAGCCACACTGCCTCATCAAGGTCTCTCTGTTTAGGCCTTATAACCCTACTCTATGAGAGTCTCCATATTGGAGTAAATACAGAAATGGGCAAATTTAGGGAAGGTTATGCCTGGAGGCAACCCATTCCTGTGTGGTTTGGTTAGGTCTACATTACAGAGAGGGACCTTGATGAAGCATGGTGGCTTCCAGATAAACAGTATTTGCAAATGTTGTGGATCTAAAACCTCTATTACGTAAATTGCTAGATTGCTTTTTTTTTCTGGCTAGCTGGCCTTCTGGACCCTTATCCCGCTTCTTTGACGATTTCTCCGCCTGGTTACCTTTCTTCCTCTCCTCAGAGCTACCCTCCATCATCCTTGGAGACTTCAATATCCCTATCAACGTCAATAACCCGGCTACTTCCCAACTCCTTCACCTAACCTCTTCTTTTGCACTCACACAGTGTACACAGTCCTCCACCCACTCCGACGAGAACACCCTGGACCTTGTTTTCTCCCATCTCTGCACCCCCCACTACCTCACAAACACCTCTTTCCCTCTCTCTGACCACAACCTCATTACATTCTCCATCTCCCCATCCTCAAACACCTTCCCCCCCAAACGTCAAACCATCACCAGCCGTAACCTCCGCAACCTGAACCCTGCCCCTCTCCACTCTGCAGCTGACCGACTCTACAACAGTATCCTTCCACTGTCCTGCCCTGACCTGGCCACTACTGCTTGTAACAACCCCTCTCAGCCGCCCTAGACTCCTTAGCACCCCTAACAACACGTAGCATTAGACCCCGACCGCTTCAACCCTGGCAGAACAACCACACCAAAAATCTTAAACGACGCAGTCATGTGCTGGAGTGACTATGGCGCGAAACCAGATCCCAACAAGCATTCACCTTATACAAATCTGCCTTCCTCACCTACACTTCCTCCCTCCACGATGCCAAACAAGCCTACTTCATAACCCTCATCAATACCCTCTCCTCCAGTCCTCGCCGGCTCTTCTCTACTTTTAACTCCCTACTCTCTCCCCCCCCCCCCCCCACCTCCACCCAGTACCTCACTCACCGCCCACGAGATTGCCAACCACTTCCAAAACAAGATCAGCGCAATTCGTAGGAACATCGCCAATGCTCAGACTTCCACCCCACCTAGCCTCCCTCCCTTGATAACCCTCTCAACACTCCCCTCCTCTGACCTTGCAACTGCACAGACCCCCACCTCACCTAACATCCCACACACTAAAACCACCCCCAACACTCCCGCCCTCACTCCTTCCTCACACCTTGCTACCACTGCTTCACTCACATCTTCAATCTCTCCCTCTCTACTGGTACATTCCCCTCCCCCCTAAAGCACCCGCACATCACTCCCATACTCAAAAAACCCTCCCTGGACTCCACCGACCTGAACAACCTTAGACCCCTCTCCCTGCTGCCATTTTCATCCAAACTCCTCGAGCACTTAGTCTATAATCGCCTAAGCTCTCACCTCAATGACAACAACCTCCTTGATCCCCCACAGTCTGGCTTCCATCTCCTACACTCCACCAAAACCGCCCTACTCAAACTCACCAACAATCTGCTAACCGCCAAAGCTAATGGCCACTACTCAGTACTCCTACTCCTTGACCTCTCCACGGCCCTCGACACAGTCGACCACCCCCTTCCTCCTTAAAAAACTATACTCCCTTTGCCTCAGAGACTCCACTCTCTCCGGGCTCTCCTCCTATCTATCCCAGCGCTCCTTCAGTGTTACCTATAACGCTGTCACCTCCCCCTCTCTGTTGGGGTCCCCCAAGGCTCTGTACTTGGGCCCCTTCTCTTCCCCATCTACACCTCCTCCTTTGGCCAACTGATACACTCCCATGGCTTCAACTACCAGCTCTACGCCGACGACACACGCAAATCAACCTCTCTACCCCTCGCCCCACCCCTTCAGTCTCCGCCCGAATCACCCGCCTGCTGAACGACATATCAGATTGGATGTCACTCCACTTCCTCAAACTAAACCTAAACCTTCCAAAACCGAGCTCCTAGTTTTCCCCCCAGCCCGCACCCCCCCCCCCCCCCCCCACCCTCTCCATCACGACCAATATCGCCATCATCAGTCTCACCCCGCAAGCTAAAGTTCTAGGTGTCACTCTAGACTCCAATCTGTCCTTCCAGCCCCATGTCCAATCGCTGGCAAATTCATGCAGGCTCCACCTCCGCAACATCTCCAAAATACATTTGTTCCTAACCCCAGACACTACTAAACAACTCATTCACTCCCTTATTATCTCACGACTCGACTACTGCAACTCCCTCCTCACCGGCTTACCTCTTCACAGACAATCCCCGCTTCAGTCTATCCTGACCTCTGCGGCCAGACCTTACCAACCACTCCGTATCTGCCACCCCCTCTGTCATTCCCTCCACTGGCTTCCGATTGCCCAACGCAAAAAATTCAAACTTCTAACATTGACATACAATGCTATTCATAATACTGCCCCAAACTACCTTACCGACCTGATATCCAAATACCACCCTACACGTACTCTTCGCTCCTCACAAGACCTCCTACTCTCTAGCTCCCTGGTCTCCTCCTTCCATGCCCGACTCCAGGACTTCTCCAGGTCTTCCACCATCCTCTGGAACTTACTACCCCAATCCATCAGACTGTCACCTATCCTCCTCACCTTTAGGCGTACCCTGAAAACCCATCTCTTCAGGGAAGCCTACCCGCTCTCACCTAATTGCCGATCTCCTCCACTCCTCCTACCACTCCATCCCCCACAGCCATTTCCTCCTGTACCACTATCCCCTCTCTCTTAGATTGTAAGCTCCAAGGAGCAGGGCCCTCGAACCCCTCGTGTATTGTATTGTATTGTTACTGTATTGTCTCATGTACTGTCTCCCACTATAATGTACAGCGCTGAGCAAACTTTTTGGCGCTATATAAATACTGTATATATATAATAATAAAGTGTGCTGGGAAAAACATGTGTTTTGTTTTTTCTGTGTGAAGTTCTTCAATGTGCCCTTACTTAGTTGTAAAATTGTGTGTTGCCATTTTTGTTTAGCACTTTAAAGGTATCTGTTTCAAACACACAATGATATGAAGGATAAATTCAGGTTTGATCAATTCTTCTGCACAATTTTATAAAGGTTGAAGAGCTCTCTTCACTGAAGTTTAGTACATTACCTTCTTTTTAAGGCTATTTGCTGTGCAAAGTAGGGTATCTTAAATATTAGGTTTTTAATAGTGAATTTAAAGATCATCTTTAAAATAATTTATTTTGAATTTCTTTGAGACATGTATACATACAATTCTATTGCCTGAAATTATATTTCTTGTTTTCAGCCTTTGCAGAATTCGTTTCTGCTGCCTGTGTTCCTGGAGCCAACGATCCAATCTTGTGTAAGCAGTGTGCAGGAAAGCAAGATAAAAAGTGCAAAGCATCTGAAAATGAGCCATATTATGGCTATTCTGGAGCCTGCTTGTGAGTATACTGTAACCTCTACTATCTAATTCACCTAGAGGTCTCCACTTAATGAAATAGTGGATGGTCATCAACAGGAACACTGGATTTTCTCTCTTTTTCACTCAGTATTATAACTACCCTTCTCCGAGGCTTTCCATAAAAACACCATTTTTGGTTATAAAACCCCAAGTGATATCATTCCTCATGGGGCCAATTAGCTTGAGGAGTTGCTTTGTACCAATAAAGACAGTTTTTTAAGCTGACCATACATGATTTCTCCATCCCCACAAACAAAGTGAATAAAGGAATCCCCCCCCCCCCCCCCCCCCCGGACAATTTTCCTGTTGAAAAATAAAATATTCCTCAGCGTCCAATCAAAGCAACGTCCTCAATATGTATCCTCAAGTGACTTCATAATTTTTCAAGACTCTGTATATGCTCAATAAAGTGATATCCTCCTCCTCTTCTTCTTTAACCCTCAAAATGTTTTTTTTATAGAAAACGCACATTACCTATGTCATACACTATAAATCAAACTAAAATACACTCACATAAAAGTGCTCAAAACATACAAAAACTCCACCAAGTGTCATTCCACATGTGATATCCATAATTCCTACTATTACCGACTAGGTATGAATAACTTGTCAAGTGTGTTTCCAACTCGTGCATTCTTAGTTCAAAATTCCTCCCCCTGAGTGATCTCTCCTTCCAAAAATTTAAATTGTATATAGTGTAGTATATTCCACAGATATCATAGCATGCACACTGTGCTCCCATGGTATCAAACCAAAAACCACCAATTAAGTGAGAAAATAAAGAAATCCGCCACCTTCCTATCCATGCACCTTACCAAACTTTAGAGAAAAGACAGCTTTCCACAGATAAACTGCTCTCCAACCAATTTCGCTCTTGTTGTTCAGTCACAATGTCAATGCATGAATAAAAGACAGAATAGACACCATTGTGTAATATTTCAAAACCATCTGATTTATTAGATGAAAAATCGCTTACACAGTTATGATGTACATCAGCGTTGTTTCATAAAAAATGTAGACCGGACCTCATCTAAAATGGCTTCTGGTTGGCCATCACCTTTTGACACGTTTCGTCATTCTGACTGACATGATCCTTTGACAAAGTCAGAATGACAAAACATGTCAGAAGTGACTGCAGACACCAACCAGAAGAGCACAGTGTGGCATGCTATGATATTTGTGGAATATACTACACTATATACAATTTAAATTTATGGAGGGAGCGATCACTCAGGAGGAGGAATTTTGAAGCAAGAACGCACGAGTTGGAAATACATTTGAGCAAGTTATTCATACCCAGATGGTAAGAGTGGGAATTACGGATATCACATGTGGAATGACACCTGGTAGAGTTTTTGCATGTTTTGAGCACTTTTATGTGAGTGTATTTTAGTTTGGTTTATAGTGTATGACATAGGTAATGCACTATGTGCAGTTTCTATTAAAAAAAAATTAAAGGTTAAAGAAGAAGAGGAGGAGGATATCACTTTATTGAGAATATAAAAGATGTTGAAGAATTATGAAGTCACTTGAGGATACATATTGAGAACGTTGCTTTGATTGGACGCTGAGGAATATTTTATTTTACTTTGGACTTCCTGGGGAGGAAGGGACGTCTTGGTGACCAAGGCTTGGGTAGTACACATTGTATTTTGCAGTCAAAGTTGGTTTGTTATTGTATAAATTTCCCTGTTGAACCCATCAAATCCATCTATGACCAGCTTTACTTAGAACACATTAAATGATTCCACAAATGAACGCCACTGGGGTTGACTTACTAAAACTGGAGAGTGCCAAATTTGGTGCAGCTGTGCATTATAGCCAATCAGCTTCTAACTTCAGCTTATTTATTAATTAGCTTTGACAATAAAACCTGGCAGCTGATTGGTTTCAATGCAGAGCTGTACCAGATTTTGCACTTTCCAGTTTTAGTAAATCAACCCCAATGTGTTAGTACAGACACTTTGACAAATCAAACACAAATAATCCTTAGCTACCTGTCTTTCCACTGGTCCCTGATAAACAAGATATTTAACTGTTATTGACCAGTGCCTTAGCTATTGTCTTGTCTGTTGAGTAGAGGCACTGTCAGACTTATGAATGCAATTTGCATTGTGGTGCATTGCTTAAAATAGTGTAAGTGCATTTTTCTGTGGGTTGAGGCCTGTAAAGAGAGTGTTGGGCATTATTCGATCCAAAAGACTGAAAGCATATTGTGGTGAAGAAGAGACACTTTGGGGAACCACCTCCAGGAAGGAGGTGAGTATTGCACTGTTGTTTTTTTATTCCTGCTGGGAGATTAAAAAAAAAAAAAAAACATTTTAGCCCAAAGTTGGCTCGATTCAAGTGAATGGGCTGTCTAAAGGACCAGTAGACATACATGTACAGGTAAAACTCGAAAAAATTTGAATATCGTGCAAAAGTTCATTTATATCAGTAATGCAACTTAAAAGGTGAAACTAATATATGAGATAGACTCATTACATGCAAAGCAAGATAGTTCAAGCCGTGATTTGTCATAATTGTGATGATTATGGCTTACAGCTCATGAAAACCCCAAATCCACAATCTCAGAAAATTAGAATATTACATGCAATCAATAAAACAAGGATTGTACATAGAACAATATCGGACCTCTGAAAAGTATAAGCATGTACATGTACTCAGTACTTGGTTTGGGCCCCTTTTGCAGCAATTACTGCCTCAGTGCGGCGTGGCATGGAAGCTATCAGCCTGTGGCACTGCTGAGGTGAAATGGAAGACCAGGATGCTTCAATAGCAGCCTTCAGCTCTTCTGCATTGTTCGGTCTCATGTCTCTCATCTTTCTCTTCGCAATGCCCCATAGATTCTCTATGGGGTTCAGGTCAGGCGAGTTTGCTGGCCAATCAAGCACAGTAATCCCACAATCGTTGAACCAGGTTTTGGTGCTTTTGGCAGTGTGGGCAGGTGCCAAGTCCTACTGGAAAATGAAGTCAGCATCCCCATAAAGCTCATCTGCAGAAGGAAACATGAAGTGCTCCAAAATCTCCTGGTAGACAGCTGCGTTGACCCTGGACTTAATGAAGCACAGTGGACCAACACCAGCAGATGACATGGCTCCCCAAATCAACACAGACTGTGGAAACTTCACACTGGACTTCAAGCATCTTGCAGTGTGTGCCTCTCCATTCTTCCTCCATACTCTGGGTCCTTGGTTTCCAAATGAGATGCAAAAGTTGCTCTCATCAGAAAAGAGGACTTTGGACCACTGAGCAACAGACCAGGTCTGTTTTTCTTTAGCCCAGGTAAGACGCTTCTGGCAGCGCATTTGATTTATTTTCACTTTTTGTTCCATTGTTTGAGAAAACCTGAAATTCACCATTGAACCCACCTGACCATGGGATTGTGGAGGAAAGAGTGCTGAGGAAGCTTCTAGGAAGACTAATAACTGGGCTGGGATTAGATTACATCATTTCTCAACCAGTTAAATTACCTAAACATGGAAAAGCTTTTCCTCATGTTGTTATAGGGTGTTATGGTCCTGAGCCAGAAGTAGGAAATTGTGTAAATAATAGATTAGTCACTTTTCCTTACAATGTGAAGTAAGAGTCACTAACACTTTCATGAATGTCATTGGGTTCATTGATATTAAGAAACAAAGACACAAACGAAAAGTGAAGTTACTTTTTCATAACTGTAGATCAAGGGAAGTTTTGGAATTTCAGAATAGTATTGTGTAGGCATGTATTAGCTAGATCCACTGATAAAATCCAGTCCCCTTGCAGAATTTCTGAAATATCTGATTGCATTGTCGATTCCCTTATTCACTGACTTCAGTTCCAGAACTGGTCCCAGATCACCTGCTCTTCTGTGATATCTGAATATATTGGATGAAAAAGAGTGTGTTTTCTAGACAGGCGGGTACAGTTTTCTCGACAAAATGATTCTGCGGGTGGTCAGCATTTGAAGGACCGACAGTGGCCTCTGGGTGCAGTAGAAATTACCCTTATCAGATTCTGCACATCACACCGCGTTTTGTTGACCAATTTCGGGGTGTTGTTAACTTAACATACACACCTGCAGCATGAATGAGGTGCACTCCTGATGCGGTGCGGAATTTTCACAGAAAACGCTGTGAATTCCATACCGCATCAGTGTGAACCCAGCCTTAAAGGAATCTTTGAAAGACACTGCATGCTCCATAGAGAGGGTGATATGATGAGCTAACCTCATAACTGAAGCATCCACCAAAGAAAAAAGTGTTCAGGATGGAGGTTACTTCCTTTCTGAAGGGGTAGAGTCTTGAAAGCCTTTTATTAAGGCAGGGTTTATTCTCAGTCTTATCTCTTCCATGCATGGAAATGAGCTGCTGAACTTTTTAAGGATAATGTTTTTTCATGTTTGTTAGTGCACCTTCAACTGTAGTCCACTATTGAATGTGCCCTTGCATTGCTGTTAAAAAGGGTTCCAGCAAACGGAAGTTGAACCAAATAATGCAGGGGTCCTTTGACTCCACTGACTGATAACTATGGTCAGGACTGGAAGTGCACTCAGGTATCTAACAGGAAGGAGTTGGCATGAGCTGCGTGGATGGCTTTTTACATTCTTTTACTTGATGGATTGCTTGATCTTTGAGACTACAGCTATGGTTATTTTCTCCTGCTTTTGGGTGGCCTCCACTAATAATATTTGACAGACCAACTTCACTGGCAGACCTTTATGGCCACAGACCCAGCATCTATTTTTATCCTGATATCTATGGCAGGAGTATGAGCCTAACTCAACGATGGCATCTAAAGTGAGAGCAAGAAGGCTATGTCTGAAAGAATCATGAGGTCTTCGCAAAGCAGATCTGGTTTCCTGCTCTCAACTTTATGCCTAGTCCATAACACAATCTTTGCAAAGGAGCTGTAAGATTATATATATTAATATATAATATATATAAAGATTATATATATTATATATATTGTTATGAATGAGTTAAGTCCTCAGTCTTGTTT